CTGCTCCCCCCTCCCTCATGAACCCTTGATAATTTATAAATATTATTTTGTCATATTTTACACTGTCCGACGTCTCCCTTCACCTACTTTTCTGTTGTCCATCCCCCAGGAAGGAGGTGATAACTAGATCCTTGTAGTTGGTTCCTCCTTTCCACTCCACCCTCCCGGTATCGCCACTCTCAGCACTCATCCTGAAGGGATCATCTGTCCTGGATTCCTTGTTTCCAGTTCATATCTGTACCCAGTGTACATCCTCTGGTCTAGCCGGCAAATGAAGATTTCAAAGACTCCACTCTTACAGTCTTTAACTCATGTCACCATGGTGGACTTTACTCTGAGAAATTAGTTCTCCCTCAGTGACATTGTAAATATCCTCTTAACTCAAAAAGCCCGCCCTCTGGCACCCTCCTTGACAGTGTTCTGCTTTCCGTTCATTAGGTCTTTTCGTGTCTTGACAGTGTTTTGAATCTGTGCATAAAGTTTTCATGGGCTCCACCCTCTTAAGTGCAGAGCTAAGCCCTTCTTCATTATCTGTTCTTAGTCTGGGAGCACCGCTAAAATCTGTTCACTTTGGGTGACCCTGCTGGCATTTGGTTGTCTGCTAACCACTTGATAGTCCACAACTTGTGCTGTGGTGGCCCATGTGTTGCTGGGCTGCTAGGAGCTATGTCACGAATACTTCAAATGTCAGCAGGGTCACCCAGAGTAAAGAGGTTTAATTAGCACTACCCGTTTTAAATAAAATGGTTACCATTTTAAAAAGTAGTACTTCCTTTTCTTTATTATCGGCTTCTTCCTCTTCATTGCATGTTTTAGGACTTCTAAAATTGTATTTATATTTTCTTTGGTGATCTTCACAGGCTTAGGTTTTATAGTTCTAGATTTTAGGTCTGTGATCATCTTGAGTTTAGGGGTTGAGATATGGATTCTATTTCATTTTCCTATAAATGGAGATCCAGTTGTTAAATGCCATTTGTTAGAAAATACCTCTTTGTTTTTAATGAGTTTGAGCCCATTGTCAAATGGAGCTCTCATAGATAAATGAATTTAATTCTGGGTTCTCAGTTATGTTCAGTAGATCTATGTGTCTTTGTACCAGTATGAAACTATTTTGAAGACACTTTGAAGTGAGGAAGTGATTAAGGGTGAGGCTTCCTACTTTCTTGTTCTTTAATTTGCATTGCTTACGTTTGGTCTCTTTCCTGTTCATATATAGTGGCTGGCTAGTTTTTTTCGTCTCTACAGAATAATGCTGGTATCTGGATCAGAATAGCATTGTATGTGGAGATTGCTTTGAGTAGTATTGAGATTTGGTATATTCTTCCATTTGTGTAGGTTTCTTTTGGTTTCATGTAGTAATGTTTAGTAGTTTTCTTTGCACAAGTCTTTCTTTGTTCCTCTGTTTAGGTTTATGTCTAAGTATTTTATCTTTTGGGGGTAGTGGTGGTTGTTATGTGTCATCATATTAGTTCCAAATACTCCCGGGTCCTGCACTATCCTCAGAATTTTTATAATTGAGCCCATGGTGTCGCCTTTATGGCCGTCCATCGTTCTGAGGACTTTATTTTTCACTGACCCCTTTACTTTACCAAACATGATGTCCTGTTCCAGAGACTGTTTTCTCCTGATAATGTGTCTCAAATATGGAAGACCAACTCACCATCTTCACTTCCAAGAGGTAGTCTGGTTTTACATCTTCCAAGTTAGATTTATTTGTTCTTCTGGAAATCTACAGTACTTGCAATATTCATTGCTAACAGCATAATTAAAATGCATCAATTCTTCAATCTGCCTTATTCACTTTGACATACATACAGGGCAATTGAAGGTTTCTTGGCTTTGATCAAGCACACCTTAGTCCTCAAAGTGTCATCTCCACCACTTTTAATATGGCTTGTGCAGCAGATTTGACTAATGCAATACATTGATTGCTGCCTATGTGAGTGTTTTGTGTGTCCAAGCAAAATGAAATCAGGAAGTGTTTAAGGCTGAGACTCCTACTTTTTGTTTTTTAATTGGGCATTTCTCCATTTTTTGTTTTCAGTGTTTTCTATTTATCCAGTTGTGAGGATTTGGGTTGTCTACATTGATTGCAATCCTTATTGAGGGCTGCATTTTTTTGTTTTCATCAATAAGTGCTCCACATCTTCTTTCCAGCAAGCAAGATTTTTTCGTCTGCATCTTAGGTTTTTAATGAGCTTTCTTCCAGTACTGATGCCGAATCTGCTGTACCAGACCTCTTTAAAGTGGTAAAGATAAAGGATGTCACTTTGAGCACTAAGGTGTGCCTGATGCAAGCCATGATATTTTCATTCACCTCTTATGCGTGTGAAAATTGGGCAGTGCTGGTAAGGCAGAATCATTTCATATGAATTATGGTGTTGGCGAAGCATATTAAAAGTACAGACTTGCCAGTAGAGCAAACAAATCTGTCTTACAAGAATTATAGCCAGGATTCTCCTTAGAAGCAAGGATAGCAAGACTTAGTTGCCCATACTTTGGACGTGTTATCAGGAGAGACCCTGGAAAAGGACATCATGCTTGCCACAGTAGAGGGTCAGGGAAAAGAAGAAATCCTCAACTAGATGGTTTGACACAGTGGTTGCAACAGTGGGCTCAGGCAATTATTTGGATGACCCAGGACAATGTTTTATTGCTTACTCAATGATACCTAATAATAATAGCTAGAGACTAATAACATAGATATATTACTGAGTCATCTTGTCTGCAACCATTTTCTGATCATGGAGACTTGTTTGATTGTATTTTGTTTAGAACAAAAACTTACCATTGAGCATTGTGGTGGGACTCTTAAGGTTTAAAATAATTATAATTGTTTGACATGAATGGAGATATTTTTGAAATACACTAAATTCTAGTCAGTTTTTATTTCTGAAAATCAAATAGCTATGCTAATAAGCAGTGTTCTCCTAAAATGACAATTTTGCTGCACTTGATTAGAAAATGAAAACAAAACTGTAGTAAGATTGTCAGTTGTTATCTTTGAGGGTGAACAAAAACAAAGATCTCCCTTCTGTCTTGTTCATCTGGCAGGAAACCCAATCTAGTTGCTTTGAATTTAGGAAGGAATGCAGAATTTCTTAAATAGGGAATTGTTTTCTAAACTGACATTAGTCTTAAATTAATGTACCGTGGGAAAGGAGAAATAATTCCATGGTACCTGTGTATGTTCTTTCTTGTGAAATAATCATGTACATTGAGTATTTGATGATGTTCTGAGAATGTCTTATGCTCAACGTTCTCCCCCTTCTCCCTACATTTTGATAGCTAGCCCAATTCCATAAAATAACATTACGCGTGTCTGAATTACTTTAAACTTCTTAGAGCAATTTAAAATTCATTATTGCTTATCTCTTAGATAATTTCTTTTCTTCTCTTGTTAGAAGTTGTTTATGACAGCAGATAAACCTGAATTATGCTGTGGTTTTTGTAGTCTCTTTTTTGCTTTTTTGTGTGGTTTTTGTAGTCTCTGTATTGCTTTTATCTTGTGGTGACTCCTAGAGCTTAATTTAGCTGTTAAATTTTTGTTTTTGTTGTTGTTGGTTATGTGTGTTTCTTATGTGGCCAGTATTCTAGAAACGGAATTTTATTCTTAGAGTTAAAAAATTGGCTTAAAGGTGTTTCTGTAGTAAAACTGAAACCAGTGGAACAGTATTATTTAACTGTAATAGTTACCATTGGCTAAAGTTTATCATTATTTGTTGATTTTGTTTACTATTGAGTTTAAATCTACTAAGCATATAGTCCTATCTGTTTTCCCTTAACATATATTTTGTAATTACTGAGTTCAGAGGTACTCTTTTTGTACAAAGTAGGGAATGCTTTGTTTTTTTAAATGCATATATACCATCAAGTATTATAAAATAATAACATCTCAACTTATTTTTAAGTATAAAACTGAAGAATTAGCTTGAATATTAAATTCCATAACATTTTAACTGGCATGAAATGAATGCAGAGACATCTGTCCAAATTAAGTTGAAAACAAAGGAAGTTCCTGTATGTAGCTTCCTGCCTCTCATAACAAACACAAAGGCAAACAAAAATCTTGCGTAACTATTAAGCTCCTTCCAAAGTATAGCTAAAATTAATAATAGGAATTTTGGTTTTTTAGTGTATTATAAATGTTTGCTGGAAGTTCTTCCCGTTCTATTAAAGGTATTAAGATATTGAAAGTCTTTAAATGATTTGTTTTTCTTTTCCTTTATCAGAATACAGCAATGGAGGAAACAGCCATATGGGAACAGCACACAGTGACACTTCACAGGGTAAGTTGCAGTAAATAACCTGAGTAATTCAGGATACTGGCAGCTTTTTAAAACAATAGAGGAGAGCCAGATGTCAGGAAAGCAGGACAAAAGGGAAAAACATTTCTATGTCCCTTTGTTTAAGTTGTTTATTAAGGTCAAAAGTGAGCGTGGTTACTGACTTATATAATCTCGTGCTGTTTTTAACAAGACTACACGATTTACTTTTCAAGTTTTGTCTTATCAGATAAAAGTATTCAGTTTATTAGTGTAAATTGGAAGCTATTTCAACCTTTTTAGCACATATGCATAGACTATATGTAGATGTTCATGTTTCAAATTAAATTAGGTTATCTTATATGCATAAAAAATCTAGAATTACATGTATTGATTTAAAACATATAGTCTAAGCTGTTACTGGGCCAATTGCAAATGAGCAGAGAAAGGTTATTAGCTTAGTCCAGATTAAGACTGCCATGAATTTGAATTCTGGTTCTGTCCTTTTCTTGAGTTAGGAACTAGGGTAAGTGATAAATCTTTTAAAATTTTGATTTTTATATATTTATAGTGAGGCTAATAGATTCTATTAATGCCTGATATAAACTAGCACTCAATAAATTCAAACTCACTGCTATGTAGTCAATTTTGACTCATAGCAACCTTATAGAACTTCCCCTGTGGGTTTCCAAGACTACCTTTTTTGGGAGTTAGAAAGCCACGTCTTTCTCCCTGGGAATGGCTGTTGGATTTGAACTGCTGACCATGTGGTTAGCAGCCCAACATCTAACCTATGATGCCACCAGGGCTCTTTTTTGACATAACTAAGTGGCTCCATAACTCTTCTCCCTTCTCTCATTAAAGAAAAATTACTCTAATAATTATATTCTCTTAGGAAATGTAGGAAGAACTTGGAAACTTAGTTTAGACCATTGTCTTCGTCCAGATTGACTAGAGAAACAAATCCAGTGACACATATGTTTAAAAGTTTTGTATTAAGTAGTTAGTTATGCATCAATAAAACATCCTAGCCCAGTCCAACTGAAGTCCTTAAGTCCCTCTTCAAACTCACACAGCCACATCAAATGATGCACAGTGAAGGAAGACATAGGCCAGTGGGTGAGATCTTGTGGATCCAATGGCAGTGGGCGCATCTGCAGGATTCTGGCAAGCCTCAGAGTGGCTGACCCAACAGGAAGGTGAAAGCAAAGGTGGGGACAGGTGGGGGGTGGGGGAGCTACCAAGGGGGTTCCCAGAGCCTCCTTATTGAGAAGGCCATACCTAAAAGGAGTCACCATTAATTTGTGACCTGATTGACATGCTAAACTCCATCAATATCTTCTTAAAGGTGCACCAAAAAAACCTATCACAACCATATACTTTATTCTTATTTCTACTAGTGCTATACTTTGCTAGGCAGATAAAAAGGAGAAAAAAACTTATGCTTGAATCTGTTCCTGCTTATGTTGTGAATGTTTGACGCTGCACATATGTAATTGATAATAGAAAAGTAATTATTTTAAAAAATAGTTATTTCAGGTAAGATACAGTTGACTTTTTTGTGTCTCAACTTTGAATTTATAAGATTGAAATATGCCTTCCCTTTATTCAAAATATGTTAATAGGTAATATATTTAAATTATGGATATGCCTAAAAATAGAAAATAAAGTCATACTTAGACTAATTTGATTTTTAACTAGAATCTCCTCTGTGTTCCCTTCCTGGAGCCGAGTATCAAGCAGGGCATGATGTAAGAATTAATTGTTCAACTGATTTAAAAAAAAAAAGAATTAACTGTTCTTAAGTTGGAGCTGGGACTATCAGTTAAAATAGCATCTGGAGTCTTAAACGCTTGGCTCTGAACAAGCAGCCATCTAAGTGAGATGTCAACTAAGTCCACATGGAAGAAGCACACCATCATCAGTCACCGAAGGATTGTGAAGCATGTAATCCAAAATTGATGGGAAGGATTAGTATCAGAGCCCAAAGTCTTGAGAATCTGATTGGCAGAAGGCTATGGATCACAGTGGAAGCCCAAGCTTCATTGGTGGAACTCTACTGGAAACAAACATCCAGTGTACTCCCTCTATCCACAACTGAGGGATAGGAGAGTGATCTTTAAATGGAGTGCATTGTTGAGTGGATTATAGAATGTCAAAGCCTGATAATTGTATATTGAGAAAACATCCCAGCCTATTCAAGATCAAGTCCATAAACCCCATATTAGCTGATACCAGTCGATAAATTCCTCTTTAGACTCATGCAGCACATGCATATTTCCAATACCAGTCCATAAATTGCTCTTCAGACTCATGCAACATATGCAATGATGCCAAATGCAGGAAGATCACCGGCCAGTGGGTGGAAAGTCTTATGGAACCAGTGGTGGTGGAAGCATCTCAGCGCTGGCATGGGTCTCCACATGGCTCCTCCAGCTTCAGTGCTCTACCTGCCATCAGCATAACTCCATGTGACTTGTCAGCATAGAGTGTGTGTCACACCTCCAGGGAGGAAGACAAAAGTTCCCAGAATCCTCAGGAGAAGGCCATGCCCACACAGAGGCATCATTGGCTATGACCTGATTGACTAGCTAGAGCTCTGCCCCTTCGCTCAATTTGACAAGAGATTATGTAACTGCCACAGATTTCCCCTAGGATGCATGCTGGAACTAATCTGGTATCCAAAATCTTAAGTATTCTGGGGTTATATTGTTTGTTTTTTGATTATACGTATAGGGGGTATCCCAGGAGTGTGGGGGGAGGTCAGATGCGCAGGCATTCCCTCCCCTGAGGGCAATCAGTTGCCAGACTGCTGTCTCATCCTCATCCCACCACAGGGGTGGGCCTGCTCCCTGCCTCCGGGGACAATGGACAGGCTCCTGTAGGCGGAGTTTTCACCCTACTGATAGTGGTTCCTATGGAGACCCAGAGACCACCCCCTAGACCACCCTCTCATTACTGTGTACCCTATAGTGTAACCCCTCCCTGTGATGTATGTCTCTACCTGTAATTAGTGGGCTGGCATGCCCCCAAAAGGTATATAGGTGTGAGTCAGCAATATAGAGCTCTCTGATCTCCCCTCCTTGCTGCTCACTCCCCTCTTCCCCCTCTCCCTTGTTCCCTTGCCCTCCTTCCCTTCCCCCTCTCTCCATGTGGACCACCAAGCTGGGCTGAGGTGAGCAATGCTACAATGTAATGTGTGTGGCTGTATTATTGTACTATCTCTCATGCACTTGATGACTTTAATATAATACTTATATATCTCAACCGTACAATTGTGCATTACTGAACCCAGAAGTAGTATTACTGAACCAGTGAGTTCTAGTAGCGGGTGGTGCTGGCACCCCACCCCCCTCGTAGCCATTTTAATTTAATACTACGTGTTGTCATTGGGGCTCACCCTCCTGAAGTTGCAGTATGTTTTTTCATGTTTTGGTGTATGAAAACCAGGACTGATGAACCTATAGAATCAACGAATGAAATAAGGGTTTTGGGAGTAGGTGGCAGGGTGAAGGGTAATGACCGCCAAGGGGTCATAAAGAAAAAGAATGTCTGGAAACTGATTGTGGTAGCAAATGTAGAATTCTGATAGACGTGATTGAACTGTGGAATTATTTGATATGTGTATTAATCCCAATTAATTTTTTTTAAGCAGGAAGGGGTGGGGGAGATTCACTTGTGCCCATTAATAGTCATCCCTTCCCCCACAGTCTCTAACAACCGCTGATTTCTGTTTCTACAGTGTTGTGTTTTCTAGAATGTCATATACTTTATAGTATATATAGCCTTTTTAGAGGCTTCTTTTTTTTTTTTTAATCATTTTATTAGGGGCTCATACAACTCTTATCACAATCCATACACACATCAATTGTGTAAAGC